GCGTGACAGTAGGAATAGCAGCACGAGCAAGGTCAGACAGAGGGTCAGGAATGTAAGGAAGAGAGGACGCTGGAGGAGACGGCAGGGTAACACGCTGTGGAATAGAGGAAGGACGAAGTGCCATAGTGTGAGTGCCGGGGACTGGTGGAGGAAGTGGACGAGGAACACGACGAGCACGGCGAACAGTGGAAACAGGGGAGGCAGGACGATACGCAGGCTCACGACGCTTGTTTAGGGAGTCTGGCTGCTCGGTATAAGGAGAAGGAACGGGCAGTGTCTGGCGGTAACTGTATGAGACGGGTCAGGCGGTGGACACAGTAAGGGAGGAGTAAGGCCAGTGGAAGATGGAAGACTAAGAGCCTGACGAAGTGCTGAGCCAGGCGATGGTAAGGATGACTGCGGCTGCGGGTAGAAAAACGGTCGGCGCGGCACAGTACCCGTACCGTCAGCAGCTCCAGCACCTCCAGCACCTCCAGTACCACCAGCTCCAGAACCTCCAGCACCTCCAGCACCAGCAGCTCCAGTGCCTCCAGCACCAGCAGCTCAAGTACCTCCAGTACCTCCAACTCTAGCACCTCTAGCATCAGTAGCTCCAGCACCTCCAGTACCAGCAGCCCCAGTACCTCCAGTACCATCAACTCCAGTACCTCCAGCACCTCCAGCTCTAGCACCTCCAGCACCAGCAGCTCCAATACCTCCTGCACCTCCAGCTCTAGCACCTCAAGCTCGAGCACGGCCGAGAGTCTCCTGCCAACGTGCACCAGTACCGCTAGTGTTAGCGTCTCCAGCACCACGACCTCCAGCACCTCCAATTCCAGTACCACCAGCACCAGCACCTCCAGCACCTCCATCTGCAGCACCTCCAGCTCCTCCTGTACCCGTAGGACACTCAGCACCCCCAGAACCAGCACCCCCAGAGTCCGCACCCCCAGTGTCACCACCTCCAGCAGCACGAGATTCTACAACGACTGGCTGCAGAGGCGGCGAAGACGGCCGAGGCGGAAAACCAGGAGGGGCCGCCAAGTGCGCTGAGCGACGAGGGGCCACAGTGTTGGCACCAGTCAGGTCACCCCCCTCAGCTGGGCCAGAAGGGCCAGAGGAGACCTCGAAAGGCCCAACCAAGGGGGGTGGGTCTACCTGAGACACATCTGAGGGAGCAGGACCCTGTGGGGGGAGGGGGGCTACCGGGGGGGGGTCCGACACCAGGAAGAGAGGCGGGAGGGGCACGGGGGAACTGTGGTGGGGGTGGAGACGGTAGAAGCAGACACACTCGTCAAAGGTGACGTCCTGGGAGGAGAGGACACAACGAGAACCCGGGTGGTAAAACTCCCAAGGCAGAGTGTTGGTAGGGAAGCCAAGGAAGACGCAGCGAAGAGTGCAAGGAGAAAACTTGCCCGCGGGAAGATCGACAAGAGCAAGGGAACCCCAGACCCGAAACACCGACGCATCGCCAACCTCTCCCGTCCACCGCAGAGTAGGGGAGGTCTCCGAGTGGGAGACACTTGGCTAGAGGTTGAGCTGCGCAGCGCAGCGTATCGGACCGCAAATGGCCACAGAAAATGGGGAGCAGCTGCATGGACTATGGAGGTGCGAGCAACCTCCATGACCAAGCCAATGCGACGCTCTGCAATCCCATTCTACTGCGGAGAGGCCGGAAGCGTGAACGACTGGCAGATGCCCTCAGCACCGCAGAAGTCCTTGAGGAGGCGGGAGCAAAACTCACCACCTCGGTCAGAGTGCAGCCGCAGGACCGGTAGGTCCTGCCGAAACCAAGAGCTACGCTCGAGGCAGGCAGCGCGGATCCAGCGGATCAAGACACTGCGGACCTCCGCCTTGCTCTGCAAGGGGAAGAGCGTGGTGTAGCGCGTATAGTCGTCAACAACGAGCAGAAAGTAGCGCTCGCCACCCTGTCCAGTGACGCGGGCTGGGCCCCACACGTCCATGTGGAGGGTCTGCAGAGGAGCTGTGGTAGGAGGAAACGAGGAGGAGTGAGGAGCGGCGCGCTGCCGCCCCTCGACGCAGGGAAGGCACGGCGGTGCAAGTGACCTGGGGAACGGGGGCAGGGACCTGGGGAGACCAGACACAAGGAGACGGGAGTGCATACCACGTAGACGTGGCAGGGAGGGGTGACCAAGACGATGGTGCCACAGGAGAGTCTAGTGCATCAGGAGACGACACGAACAAGACGCAGCTACCTCAACCGACGTAGCTACCTGACCTGACTCGGCTACCTGTGCAGACTCAGTGGTCAGTGTGTACAGACCAGACCCGGGCCTCCGAGTGAACGTGGCGAGGTGCTCGCCAGCGCGTGAGTTCGTACAGATCGCCACGAGCTCTCCCCTAGGCTGGGTTACAGTGACAAACTGGTCCTGAAGGACAGCAGTAGCCACCAAATTCCTAGCGAACGAGGGGAGGTGTAACCTTGTGAGGGAACCGGAGGGGGCTGCGGGACACGGGAGAATAGTGGAGCTACGTGCAACAATTCGGCCACCACAGGGGTCGGCCAGAGTGACAGGGACAGGGGCTGTGAGTGGTGTGAGCCCTTTTATAGGTCTTTTCGTAGTCCCTGTATTCTCTTTATAGATTCAATGTATGCATGCTCTTATTGATCTCAGTCATTTACATTCACTCTGACCTGAGTTCACTACTTCCGCTGCAACACTACCTGCGAACAACCCTGAGCCAATCCCTGGCTAAGTCCTGTTGAGGATTGTGACACTTTACACCCGACAAAACAGGATCGTTCCCACGTGTATCGTTTGCTAGACCCTGGTTCGCCTGGAAATCAAATGTGAAAGGTTTCGCACGCCCAATTCATCGCGCGCGCAGCTCTGGTTTGTTTCAAGTTTGGAAAACAGTGTTTTCAACGAATTCGCTCGAAGGACCAAGTCTGATATAAGGACAGCCTGACTAGAGGCCGTAGAAACACGCTCTTAGGTACAGCACCTAGGTTGGTCCAAATGAAGTATTTACTTTGACCTGAATGCGTCTAGAATTTGTCTAAATAGGCTCTGAATGGAAACTCAATGTGGTCTCAGTTTTGGCCACTTTCCATTTTGTTGAGGTTTAAATTGTAATTGAATTGTCATATTAATAAATATATATATATATGTACATTATTTTACAGGATGCACAATCGCAAAACCATATTTAATATGCTACCACTAACACACTATCTGCTTGAAACGAAGGCCGCCGGCTGCTTGAAGCAAATGCCGACGCCTCTTTGAACAAACAAACGCCAGCTTGAAGCTAAGCCCAACGCCTTGAAGGCCAACTCGGGGCGGGCTGCGCGATCTCGGTGCGGGCAGCGCGCGGTAGCAGCGTGTGTGCGGGCCCGACAGGCGTGTAGAGGCGGCGCGCGGGCCTTACGGGCCTCTAGGGGCAGCGCGCAGGCAAGGCAAGGCAAGGCAAGGCATACAAGGCAAGGCAAGGCTACGTGGGGTAGCGCGGTAACCGCAGCGGTAGGTGGGCCCGAAAAAAAAACGGTCCTACGGACCTTAGTGCTCTGAAACCATGTTAGAATCTAGCAGCAGGAATGAATGAACTAACAGGATGCAGGAGTACAAGTAGTAAACCCTAACTAGGTTGTACCCCATGTGGGCTACCCCACTACAGCCTAGACAATATGCAGCACATATAGTTTGACAGACACCTGCACAGGGCAAAGGGAAAAGCAACGGTTGCAGCAGGGAAACAAAAAAATCCTGGAAGCGCTCCAGATAAGTATGTTGTTATGAGTAGCTTGTTGTATTCTGCAAAAACAAAAAAAAAAAAAAAAAAAAAAAAAAACCTGGAAAGCGTTAGCACCGTACGGTAAAATAACTTGCTGCCAGAGGCACCACCAGCTTGAATCCAAGGGCAAAACATGCCGAAAACAGCTTGAAGCCGAGGCCGCCGACCGAACAAGGGCACAAAACACAAGGCAAACAGTGTGAGAGTAAAGAAAGAAAAACGCCGAATCGGTTTAGAAGTAGGAATAAAACATATGGGTACCAACGAATTACAATATTTAAAATAACACATGCGGCCCTGCAAAAGCGATATAGGGAACCGTCGGCGCTAACAAAAACAAAACTTGCCCAGCAGACCTAGGCGCCAAGGCATGTAATTACAGCGAAAAACAAGTGAGAAAAAAAAACTTCGGAAGGCAGGCACGCACCGCATGGCAGGAGACGTTCGAAGGGGCGCACATTAAGGCAAACAAGTATAAGAAGGTACCTAGAGATATGAGTGTAAGCAGGATGGACAGGAGAGTCAGGTTACGGTTCTGGGCGAAGCTTGGACACCATCAACCAAAATTTTCCCTCAGTGACGTGTAAACACACCCGATCATTGGTCATTACACAAGTTGCGAGTAACCTTGGAGCATGGCAGCCAATCAGACGTGTCCATTGCTACCAAAGTGTCCACACTTTAGATGGTGTCCAGACTTCAGAACCGTGATCTCACTAAGGAAAAAGAAACATGGAAGCATACAGACTCACGTAGAGAAGCAATTTCCTTCTGCTGGGAGTAGAAAGGAACAAGATTCGACGTTCACGTCGGAAGGGTTGCTAGATGATACATTCATATTTTACAAAACATGAGAACAAACAATTCAATGTATATATAAAGCACCAAGTATAATTTTGCTGTGATAATGAATATGAAAAGCTAGTGCTTATGATTGCATTGCCAAACGTTGGGTGAAATTATTGATGTGTTTATTAAGTATTGAATATATATAGTGAACAATGTTATATATATTCAATATGATATTTTGTAACAATGAACTACCAGGTGTGTTTCCAGCAAGAGTGTGTTTCCAGCTCACACAAATATTCATGTGATAATGTGTGTATTCTCACGTGACACCAGCGTCTGTTTTTTTTATTCCAAGCGCCCAGGTTCTGTACTGGCTTTCAGATTGCCCCGTCGTTTTCGGGCTTTTTATATATGAAGTGTTTCATGCGTCGTCCTTTTCTGGCAGGCGCGCAATTCTGTTCAGTGTTTTCGTTATGCCCCCATCGTCTTTTTTTTTGGATAAAACTTTTGTGTGATTCCGGTTTTCTTATCAAGGTCTTTTTCGTGTTGTGATTCATGCCTCCTCCCTTCCCCCAGATTGGTTACTGTAGTTTTTGTTTGCCGATCCCTTCCTCCCTCCCCGTCATCGCTTCTCCTCCCCTACTCACCACCTGTTGCCTCACCCTCCCATACCACCCACCTCGTCATCGCCACTCCCTCCCACCTTCCCATCGCTGCTCCCTTCCACCCCGCCATCCACTTTCCATTCCACCTCGCCATCCCCTCTCCCTCCCACCCACTATCGCCGCTCCCTCCCTCCCGCCGTCTTCTCTCCTCCTCCCCGCCGTCGCCGCTCCCTCCCTCCCGCCGTCGCCTCTCCGTTCCTCCCGCCGTCGCCTCTCCCTCCTCCCCGCCGTCGCCTCTCCCTCCTTCCCACCCGCTGTCGCCGCTCCTTCCTCCCGCCGTCGCCGCTCCCTCCTCCCGCCGTCGCCGCCCTCCTTCCGCCGTCTCCGCTCCCTCCTCCCGCCGTCGCCGCTCCCTCCTCCCGTCGTCGCCGCTCCCTCCTCCCGCCGTCGCCGCTCCCTCCCACCCCGCCGTCGTCGCCTCCCCCGCTCATCCCGCCGTCGCCGCTGACAGCAGCTGCACGAGCGCGAGCTGGTGGGCGAGCGCGGATCGACCCCTGAGGCACCGTAATTTTCAGGTGCGTTGTCCTTTCCCGGTCCATTTCTCCTCCTCCTCTCGAAAAAAATCATTTACTTTCGTACGTTCTTCGTATGTTTTTTGTGTGTCAATTGATCTCCTTTTGCATTGCAATACCAATTGAAGAGAGGGAGAGAGGGAGAGCGAGTGAGAGAGTTCGCACGCGAACGAGCACGCTGGCGCCTAGTGCGCTGGTGCCTAAAGCCTTGGCCCCGTGCGCGCTGGCGCCTTGCGCGCTGGCGCCGTGCGCGCTAGCGCCGTTCGCGCTGGCGTCTTGCGCACCGGCGCCTTGCGCGCCGGCGCCGTTCGCGCTGGCGCCTTGCGCGCTGGTGCTTAACGCACTGGCGCCTATCGCGCTGGCATCTTGCGCGCTGGCGCCGTGCGCGCTGGCGCTTAACGCGCTGGCGCCGTGCGCGCTGGCGTCTTGCGCGCTGGCGCCGTGCGCGCTGGCACCGTGCGCGCTGGCGCCTTGCGCGCTGGCGCCTAGCGCACTGGCGCCTAGCGAATTGGCGCCTAGCGCACTGGCGCCTAGCGAATTGGCGTCGTGCGCGCTGGCGCAGTACGCGCTGGCGCCTTGCGCGCTGGTGCCGTGCGCGCTGGCGCCGTGCGCGCTGACGCCTTGCGCGCTGGCGCCTAACGCGCTGGCGCCTTGCGCGCTGGCGCCTAGCGCACTGGCGTCTAGCGAACTGCCGTCTTGCGCGCTGGCGCCGTGCGCGCTGGCGCCGTGCGCGCTGGCGCCTAGCGCGATGGGGCCTTGCACCCTGGCGCCATGCGTGCTGGCGCCGTGCGCGCTGACGCCTAGCGCGCTGGCGCCTAGTGCGCTGGCGCCTAACGTGCTGGCGCCTTGCGCGCTGGCGCCTAAAGCGTTGGCGCCTTGCGCGCTGATGCCTAGCGCCTTGGCGCCTAACGCGCTGGCGATTAGCGCTCTGGCGCCAGGAGGCCGCGTGAAAGTGCGCACGTGAGAGTGCGCGTGAGACTGTGCGTGAGAGTGTGCATGGGAGTGCGCGTGAGGGAATGTGAGAGAGCGCGTGAGAGTGCGCACATGAGAGAGCGTGTGAGAGTGCGCGTGAGGGAGCGTGCGTGTGAGAGTGTGCGTGAGGGAGCGCGCGTGAGGGAGCGTTAGAGAGCACGTGAGAGTGCGCGTGAGAGCGCGTGGGTGTGCGCGTGCGTGAGTGAGCGCGTGAGGGAGCACATCATGCTGGCGTAGTATCTGTGGTGCCACGACTGATACCAATTTACCTCTGTTAGCTGCCAAACCCATTGCTCGTCTTTTTCTATTGTGCTTATTTCGTCTCTAGTGCATGTATGAGCTGCACTCTCTCTTTTTGTTTTCTTGTGCAATGCTATAAGGTGTACTCTTTGTTTTTACTCTCTTGTGCAGTGCGGGTGAGTTGCTTCCTGCTTGGCCTCCTCGCAGGACACGTAAGTTGCATTTTCTGCTTATTGCTTTCTTGTAAACAATGTGTGAACATCCTCTGTTTTTGCTTTCTTGTGCAAGGCGTGTGTTGCATTCTCCATATGTACTTTGTGCAGGGCGCATGAGCTGCGTTCTTTGATTATGTTTGGCGAAGAAGGGAGACGAGGGAGGCAATGGGAGGGAGATGAAGGAGGGAGGGAGGGAGGGAGGGAGGGAGGGAGGGAGGGAGTGGTGATTGGCTAGCAATGATTTATTAATAGCTGAATTTCATGAAGGTTGTGTGTTGACTGACTATATCTACCTGTGCTTGTTTGCGTGTGTGCCAGTGTGTGCGTGTGTGTGAGAGTGTGCGTGCGTGTCGATGTGTACGTGTATATGTATGAGCTTGTGTGTGAGATGTGTACGTGTATGTCTCATCGTTTATCGTTTGTTGTTTGTGTGATTTCGTTGTGTGATGCTAGATTGTGTCGGGTCTGCATTTGAGATGGGGATCGTTGTTGGGGCAGCGTTGCTTGCCTTAGCATACCGGAACCATCTCTTTTGTAGCACCGATGCATTTTAGCATTCACTAGTAAGACGGTACGTGTTGTCTTTCACTTTATCACTGTTGATATGTGTCATCGTTTATCGTTTGTTGTTTGTGTGATTTCGTTGTGTGATGCTAGATTGTGTCGGGTCTGCATTTGAGATGGGGATCGTTGTTGGGGCAGCGTTGCTTGCCTTAGCATACCGGAACCATCACTTTTGTAGCACCGATGCATTTTAGCATTGACTACCGTAATCACCCGGATATAAGACCCTAGGGTCTTATGAAAACTACGGGAAAAAATGGTGGGGGGTCTTCTCATATTGTCATAGTAATATAAGACCCGGGTCTTTACAAATGAACATGTTTTTTTCACTTGTATTTGAATGCAAAGCTCATGTTGGTGTTTGATTCGTTTTTAGATTACGGAAAGCGGTACGTCGATGATGTTTTTGTGACGACTGTTTGTGAATGTGAAATCCAGATATTGCTCTCTGATTGACATAGCCAATCAAGTCAAACGAATCTCAAAGCAAGACCATGAGAATCGCACAGTCAGACATTTGCTACGTGGCATCACCCTCGCAACTGGTCAAACTTTGATTCATGAGCCTCGTAATGGCGGAAAAAACAAAAGAATGCACAACATTGACGGTGCGATGCCCGCGTGACTTCATCCGAAGGGGAAACATTATGTTCTCCTTCACAAAACGACTCTATAATATTATAAAATCACACGTTCGCTGTAAAGGTGGGGGGTCTTATAATGTTTTCAGCCAAAAAAGGGGGTATAACAAAAACATACCCAAATATAAGACCCACGTCCGTATTATATACCCAGGGGTCTACAACTGGGGGGGGGTCTTATATCCGGGTGATTACGGTAGTACGTGTTGTCTTTCACTTTATCACTGTTGATATGTGTCATCGTTTATCGTTTGTAATTTGTGTGATTTTGTTGTGTGATGCTAGATTGTGTGAAGTCTGCATTTGAGATAAGGATCGTTGTTGGGGCAGCGTTGCTTTCCACATGTTGGGGTGGGTGGGTGTTGTCTCGTCAATTGTGTTGGGTGTCAATTGTGACGACCAATTGTTCCATTCGCCGTATTTATCGATGATTATGGAATGATTGGTTACATTTGGTTTCACTTATTTTGGAGACTCTTATGTATCAGTGCCGTCATCTCCACACCTTTGGAGCACTTCAAAAAAATTGTTAAAAGGAGTGCTTCAGGCGTTGAGATAAGACGAAAAAGGCACTGTTCATGCGAGTCGACCGAAAAAAGGGCTACCAAATGTGGGTGGAGATGGGAGTGCTGGAGCGGGTGGGGGGGAGGGAGGGAGGAAATTGTGCAGCGCTGGAATTGTGCAGCGCTGGAAACAGTTGCGCGTTTGCCACGTTGGGATAGGAGAGCGCAGTTGCGCCTGCGGCAGTTATAGCAGCCGCACAGTTGCGCCAGCAGAAGTTACAGCAGCTGCACATTTGGGCTGGGTTTGGCACTTTCGCGCACTTGAATTGCGCTAGCTTTGGCAGCGCAATGGCTTGAGCGGCTTGTGTTGTGCTGGCTTCGGCAAGTTCAAGGCACTTGAGCGGCTGCGCTGGATTGGCATGTTCCGCAGTTGCGCTGGAAGCATCTTCAGCACAATCGCTCAGTAGAGTTGCGCTGGCAGTCGGGTCGGGTACCAAAATTGTCGTGTAGCAAGCTCATCGCACGACAATTTTCGTAACCAATCAAAATCTTTCAAAAACGCCAACTTTTGTTGCTGTAAACTGAATTAACCAATGGAAGCTCAATATGAAGTGGATGTAAACATCGCTTGGATGGAAAACAGCAGGTGCAGAAGCTAGCTCCTTGTTAGAGGGCGTAATAAGAAGCGTCGTAATACACTTACCTTACAGGATCGCAAACAATCCGATTACAGTGCTTTATAGTGGACAATCATACACGTGAAGTTCATAATTTTATCAAAATGCATGTCTATAATGGCAACACAACTTCCAAATCTTCCAAATTAATTTTCATACATCTTTGTTTCATAATATGAGTTATATCTAGTATAAGAAAATTGGCAAGAGTTTCACTGATACCATATTCTCCCGGACATAACACCCTAGGGTAGATCTAAAAATACAGGAAAAAAAGGGGGGTGTCTTCTCATAGGAAAAAGCTACATAATACCCGGGTGCATATATATGGTGTCTTCTTTTTTCTGTTTTTTTAGTGTTAGAGTTTTTTTATTAGACAAGTTGAGTGTTTCCATGGGCTTTTTAACATCACATGTTGAGGCGCGGATGTCAGTTTCGACGCAAATGTCATCACCCCCTCGAAAAACTCATTTGGCACCTCTCTGGCCACCTGCAGCGGAAGATTCGCCAGCAAGTGGCGACAACGAAATAGTGGGCGGGGGGAATCTCGGCAGATTTGATGTGAAAGAACCGGGAAATCTCATAGAGCGAGAGATTTTCGCGATATACTCCCGTACTTGCACCTACTCGTTAACAGCTATAATATAGAATCTGTAAGAAAAGGGGGGTGTTATAAAAAATCATCCAAAAAGGGGGGTATAGTGAAATCGAGGTCGCCCATAGCACCCACCCCGCACAAGCTACCCGGGGGTGCTCTATCATGGGGGGGTGTTTTGTCCGGGAGAATACGGTAAATTCAGAAGAACAATGAAAATAGAGTCCAAAATGAGGAATGCAAGTCGATATTTCTAGACTGGCATTGCAACACCAAGCAAACATTCTACACGGTGAATTGCCAGTGCAGCATCAGAGCGGCTCGCCAACGCTGCAGTAGGGCAGCCTCCCAGCGCTGCATTCGCAGGCAAATATGTTCGTGCGGAGATAACTCTATCAACGGGAGCTAGACTACGGGCAAGGCACGGGTTGGGAGCATTCGTTCGTTGTGTGTTTACTGCTTGCACATTTACGGGAGATTTTGCAAGAGTTTCACTAGCAAAAGTTGACAACAATGGTTGAGAATAATAGCAACAACATTGGCAACACTGACTACATCAGAGCTAGCAAGCATGCCGGTCGACCTCCAGCGCAGCACGGTCGACCGCGACCTATCGTAGCAAGGCTCACACCGCTCCAGCGCTGCAGAGCAGCGGCTCGCCAAAGTTGCAAGTCTGCGGTGCGCCAACGCTGCAGCAAGTCGGCTGCGCAGCGTTACCCCCGCATGACAACGGTGCACCTGCTTCGCAGGTTCGCGCAGCTAGTTGGTGCACTACGCCTCGTCACGTGCACAGCGCAGATGCGCAGGCCGAGAACACGCCAAAGACCGTACCCACCAGCCACGTCGACCTTGGGATACCACCCCCGAGGTCAGCCTCGCAGAAACCACCACGGTGACCTTCGCAAACGTCGCCCGAGTAGCTCAGTCGACCGGGCAACCACGCCTGGTCCGCCAGCCCTGTCGGTCGCCGGCTAAGCAAGGCCGGCGTCCCCAAAGTCGGCGCCAGCAGATCGGCGCCTCCCAGGTCGGCCTCACCAGGTCGACCACCCGCAGCTCGGCGCCCCTGCTGCTCGGTGCCCTCCTGCCCAGTGCCCTGCTGCTAAACGCCCGGCTACTCGACGCCTGTCAGATCGGCGCCCCAATCTAGGTCAACGTTGGCGCCTCCCAAGGTCGGCGCCCAACCTCGTCGACCACCAGGTCTCGTTTGCCGCCGGCTCCCCGTGGTCGGCGGTGTGACAGTGGCCTCGTGCAGGTCGACCAGCCCGTCCCCCTGCGTGCCGAAGTCGGCGTCGCCCACTGCAGCTTATCGGCTGCGCTCCCCGCACACCCGACTACGAAGTCGGCTCCGCCCAAGCGAGGACGGGGCCGAACACAACTCTCGTTGACACTCCCCTGCCTCGTTCACGCTTAAGCCCCCTCAGCCCACACGGCAGCACTGCTCTGACAATAGCTCTGTGGCGCGCACCCAACACACAGCACGCCGGTCACCGCACCAGCCATGCAAGAGGGCATGACACCTACTACTGCACATCGTTGTCGCCGTCACCCACGTCGGCC